GCAGAATAAAATTCTGATAGATAACATATCTGAATACTAAGAGTTTAACCGTAGCCGAAACTGAATCTAATGAGTAGAATCTTGGTATAATATAGGATAGGAATAAGGTAATTGATCTGAAAATGAGCCTTAAGACGAATGGGAAGGTGGAATGATGAATCTGGAGTGAAAATTCGTGGAAAAAGGGAGGAAATCTGAGTTTTGACAGCAATTCTGGTCATTTGCGTATGATACGCGTATGGGACAGGGCATTACGCGTATCAGGTAAGGAAATACGCGTATGGTGGGCCTGGAAGCAGGGAATTACGCGTAACAGATAGGACAATACGCGTATGGTGCGCCTGACAGCAAGGCATTACGTGTAACAGGCAGGGCAGTACACGTATGGGCAGGCCTGAGATGACTTTTTCCCATTTTCGTGATTTTCGCTTAGAACATAATTTTTTTTAATTGGTAGGATTAATATGACTAAAATGAACCTAAGGGCGATTAGTAATGAATTTAATTAGAGAGAATATGGAAAATTACATTTTTGCCCTTAGAGGTGTGATTGATATGTGTGGGTCAGGATTGTCCAGTGTGGACGATCTGGTGTGATAATGGTCATTCCCAAGAGGATTACGGTGAGCGGATGACTCGTGTGGATCATTAATGATCGTGAATTATGCTTGAAATTATTATTATATTTGCATAATGGTGTTGTCATGCATTTCATGTCATGTGTCTTATGGAGATGACTAGGTGGGAATCCATGATGGGTGCCTAGTTCATTCGAACTTCATGTGGAAGTCGTTGTGGATATAAGTTGTAGTTCAGAGGAACGTATACGACTTATCTGGATTCCAACGGGAATCGGGTTCTAGGATGAACCGTTTGTATTTGTTTTGGTACCCATGCATTATGTCGAGTCAGCAAGTCACATTACATATTTGTATTTGATTATGGGCTATTAATGTCGAGTGATTGAGATGGCACATGTATGTGCGTTGCATGTGTATGATTGTATTAGCATGTGTATTTTACCGCTTATTTATTGAATGTAGTTCTCACCCCTTTTCTGTTTGTTGCGTCTGTGTTCCTTAGGGAGTGCAGATGACCAGGTACCTGAGTAGTGCTTGAAGTGTGTTGCTATTTGATCGAGTCCTAGGAGTCGCTCTGATACGTAACATAGGATGACAGGATTACATTATATTTTGCTTATTTTCTTGATTAATTGTTACGTATCTTTTATCTGTTGGATTAATGATGTATAACCACCGATTATGGAGATTATATTTAAACATTGATTTTATTCCGTTGTTTTATTGAATGACCTTGTTGAAATATTGTGGAAAGCATGAAGTAACTTGACACTTCATTAAATGAGAAAAATGTTTATGTGACACCTACGTGTTTTGAAAACTCTGATGTATTTTCTTTAATATTCCTATAATACGCGTACGGGGTAGAGTGGGGTGTTACACGAAAGGCAAAACCTATTGCTAGGATGCGAACGTTAACATCGCCCAATAAAAACAACAAACCCATAATCAATTGGTTCCACGAAATATAGAGCTCTACTTCCTCATTGCACAAGAGGATACATATGCACAAGATTGGGATATCTTGGCGAACAACCTTCTTTCAGATCCTTCCTTCATTTTTCCCCTAGTTTCACGAACTACGGAGCTTTGATTTCCTCATTCCACCATGAGGGTATGTAGGCACAATTACCCCAATCCTTCGCGAGCACACTAATTAAAAACCTTTTTTCATTTAATAAAGAATTCATAGCAAGCATGATACCTTAGCAACATCCTTACACATAAGGCGAACAAATGATTCCCATCGAGTACGATGTATGTGAGAGATGTTAATACTTTCCTCTTGCATAACCGGTTTTCGAACCTATCTCTTGGTTGAGAGACCATCTTATCCTTCCTTTTGGGGCTTTATCGATGTTTCCCCTTCCCTTTAGGATAAATAAATTTCGACGACGACTCTGTGATTTTTTGCATAACGACAATGATCTCAGATTCATTGGCAGAATTGTTGGTTCAGATGAGAAACCAGAGGCATTGGTTGATATGAGGAATCAAAGACGGGCCTCAGATTGATTGGTGAAATTGTTGGTTCAGATGAGGAACCAAATGTGTGGATCAACTAGTAACATAACTCTAAAATCCAAAAACTTGATACCACATGCATGTTGAAGTAGTAGTGATGATTCACATTGCATTACATAAAATTGCATCTGTGATTGTTCTATGTTCGTGAACTATTTTATGTGGTTGTTGAATATTATTGTTGAACTATCCTAACTGTTTATATACACGATTAACATTATGAACATATTTCATACCCCTTTTTCTAAAGACTTCATTTGTTAAACACAAGATTAGTAGAAAATAAATGGTTATGCATTAATTTATCAATTAATAGAAGAATAAACATAGTTTTTCGAGTTTACTTTCTACCAAGTGATTTACCTTAAATCACAAGTAATCTTGAGAGAGAAAATATACCTGATTGTTCTACTCGGAACAATACTTAGTTCTCTTCTAATTTTGTGAATTATTTGATACAAGAGGCAATCTTAAATTTCATTTCTTTGGTGGATTCTTTCCAAAAATATTTCTTACTCAAGAAGCCATTTCTAAAAAATTCTTTGAACATTAGATCACTTTTCTGTAAGAAGCCTTTTTGGATATTTGTTTTATACAACTTCTTTTGATATGACAGTGATTTATAGATGCTCTAAAGCATTTTTGAAAAAGCAAACTAGATTTTTATCTTATATACTAAAATTTGTTTGTGTCCTTTAATGCTAGTGGATTTAAGATGTCTTGACACTTTTGATATGTCTCATTTAAACCATCTTAATTTTTCCAAAACAATAAAGTTCGAGATGACAAAGCTTATGACAGTAATTACATTTATAAACATAGTGATTTATTTTCTTCTTCACATGACATATACATATAAAATATTTTACATTATTATTAGGATGATAACCTAAGTCTACTTTGTAATATGAAACTCTTTGATTTGATAAAATTATATCAATATTTTTTTCTTTTTTAGTAAATTTACTCAAGGATTCATGCAAACTTTCAATTTCATTTTTAATGAATCACATGTTTCATATTTTTCAAGGATGACCCTAGGGGTAGGCCACCAAGACTACCGCCTAGAGCCTCAATTTTTCTTTTATATTTATTTGATTTTAATAAATTGATTTTTTTTGTAATATTTAATATATCAATTAGATAATAACATATTTTAAAATATATAATAATAACAACTATTTACAATGTGTATTTTTTGATTTATTAATTTAAAAGTCACATTTATGAATAATAAATTTTTTAGTTTTTTAAAATAATAGAAGAAATTATAATAATAACAACTATTTAGTTTTTTAAAATAACATTGTTTTTGAATTATAATTTTTTAAATAATGAAAAAAAATGTTTAGATGAATTAATTTTACTATCAATTAAAAATAAAATGTTAAATACAATTAATTTTAATATATTAATGCTTTTACATCCTTAAAAAAAATCTAAAATATGTCAATTTAAAAAAATATATTTTTACTATATTAAAAATATTTAATTCTAAATTCCGCTTTAAGTCTCGAGATGTGTTGGACCCCTTCTGCATTTTTTTATTTATTTTAAAATTTATCTTTTAATGCATCAATTTCATCGTTAATCCTATCATTTTCACTTTCCAACGCCTTTAATATGATTTTAGAATTACATCATTTTTTTTCGGTGACTTTAACACTTAAATCAACAATTGCTTATAATATAGAATAGTTACTTCATTGTTTAAAGCAACAATTTACCTATTCGTCTATTTCTTTTATTGATTCCTTAAAAGAAACTTCATGTGATATTTTGAATGATCCTTTAGATGATGATTATAATCCTTCTAAGAATTCTTCGAATGGTTCAGATGATGAAGATTTTTATATGTTGCGTCAAATTTTTCATATGATGTTACAAATTCTTCATATGATGATTATAATCCTTTGTATCTTATATATTTGTTAGATGCAATACAATATTTTTTGAAATTATTTTCAATGTATAAAAAAGAATTATTATTATACTTCATAGTACAGTTTTATCTGTATTGAAACAAAACAACCATGATCTATAAAAATAAAGTTTTTTAACTTTAACACAATATTATGTTGATAAGGTTTTCATTTATCTATTTTTAATTGCAAGAACTGACACAAATGCAAAGCCAATTGCATAAAACAAAACCAATATTGCACTACTGAATTTTTAACCATTATTATTCAAATATTACACCATACTCTTTTTTCTTGGTACACACACCAAGTGTTTGATTATTTGTATTATATGTTTTGTCAGAGAAATCAGTATTGTAAGTTGAATTCAAACCTTGAAGAATCAACCCTCATGTTAGATTCCCTGCAACCCTAAGAGAGAGAGGGTACCCTAGAAGTTGACACAAACATGGGCCATGTGAATTTTCTCTCTCCCTTTCTAACTACATTTTGAAGTTGAAAGTTGAAAATACTAGAAAGCTGAGGAAAAAATTGCAATGGTTCAGAGGAGAAGCATGTATTAGCATCATTGTCATCAAATCAACCTTTTACCATACCATGACTATTAAGTGAAATTTCTGTAGCACTGAAACCTCTGAAAAAATGTATATCAGTGTCTGTGTCAGTGTCGTTATTGTATTTCTGATGTTTGTGATTCATATTTGGACACTAAAATCAAAGCTATGAGTCTATCCTACACATGCTTGCATCTTTGAGTATGAGTTTTTTCATCATTATCTAACATTGCAGCAAATAATGGTTTTTGTCAGATTCAATCAGACACATTATTATTCAGGTCTTCAGATTTTCTGCAGCAAATAATGGTACCTGTGAAAGAACCTATACCCTACCTAGAGTTATTTGCACCAACCACTTGTGTTAGACTTCAGTGATTCATTTTCTTAGCCATCTTTGAACTCAAGAGTTCTTATTCATGGACATTGAAAGTAAGATAGTGAACCCTAGTAACACACTCAAAATTAAGATTGCAACAAGTAGTAGTAGCAAAAAACAAAGTCAAGAGAGTTTAGAGAGTTCAAGTTTACCTTCACCAAACACAAAAACTTCCATAGAATCATCATCACCTTATGATCAATCTCCTCTTGTTTCACCACCTTCATCAGCATTTGTTTCAGCTTTGCAATCTCCATATATATCTCCAAGAGCCACAATTCCAAACCCTACTACTACTATTACTACTACAAATCCTTCAACTCCAGAAGATGTTCCTAGTAGTTCCTACACTCCTCCTTCTGATCCTTATGAGTTTTCTGATGACACTTCTGATACAAAGCTCAAATTTATGACATGTGTTCCTGAAACAGTTCCTCCAAGAATCTCATTCTCATTTCCAGTTCCTAGGGTTTCTTTTGGGAAAACCTCTGTTTCGCCTGCTACTAAAAATTCCAAACTTGGAAGCTGTGATGTCTACATTGGATTCCACGGACAAAATCCGAATCTTATTCGCTTCTGCAAGTGGCTTAAATCGGAGCTTGAGCTTCAAGGGGTTGATTGTTTACTTGCTGATAGGTCAAAGTATTCAGATATTCAAAGCCATGAGATTGCTGATAGAGTCATTTGCTCGGTCGCGTTTGGTTTAGTGATCGTCACGAGTTCGAGTTTCCTCAACCGGTTAAGCATGGAAGAGGTGAGATTTTTCGCTCAAAAGAAGAATTTGATTCCTATATTCTTTGACACATTGCCTGCTGAGATTATGTCACTTCTTAATTGCAATTCAATTGATAAAGAATGTAAAGAAGCGATCGATGGACTCGTGAAATGCAATGAGTTCTGTTTAGAAGCTAATGATGGTAATTTAAGAAGTTGCATATCGAAAATTTCGAGTATTTTAAGAGCAAGACTTGGTAGGAAGAATGTTGGTCATAAGGATAATCATAGTATGCTAGGGTTTGAGGATTTGTTACCTTTTCCAAGGAATGCGTATTTCGTGGGAAGAGAGAAAGAGATTATGGAGATTGAAGGTTTACTTTTCGGAAATCGGAATTTTTGTATTGAACAAGTTCAAGATCATTGCAGAGCAAGTGGTAGCGGACAAAGTGAAGGCCTTGCAGATGAAGAAAGTGAAACTACGGTTGGAAAAGGCGGTGGTGGAAGGTATATAAGCTTAGAGATAGGGAGGAACAAAGAACCGAATTTAGAAGCATGGATTGAACAACCGATTATAGGAAACAATTCATTGAAGAGGTTGAAGAACAAGAAGTCGAAAAATGGAAGCTACAATAAAGTTTTATGTAGTATTAGCAGCGTGGTTTGCATTAGCGGAGTCTCTGGTATTGGAAAATCGGAATTGGTGTTAGAGTTTGCTCATAGATATTACCAAAGGTACAAGATGGTTTTGTGGATTGGTGGTGAAGCTAGGAATCTTAGGCAGAACATATTGAACTTGTCAAGAAATTTCGGTTTAGATGTTGGAGCCGATTCCGAGACAGAAAGAGGTAGAATTCGAAGCTTCGAGGAGCAAGAATTAGAAGCGTTCAAGAGAATCAAGAGGGAACTTTTCGGTGACACGCCTTACTTGTTGATAATTGATAATCTTGAGACTGAAGAGGAATGGTGGGAAGGGAAAGATTTGTACGATTTGATACCGAAAAACAACACGGGAGGGACTCATGTCCTTATTACTACTAAGCTTTCCAAGGTAAAGAACTATGAAACGATTCATCTCCCTCCATTGCCGTTATCTGATGCAATGATTTTGATAAGAGGAAGAAAAAGAAAAGAGTATTCGATGGATGAAGTAAATTTCCTCGAAAAATTCTACGAGAAACTTGGTAGATTAAGCTTTGGTTTGATGATGATCGGTTCATTGTTGTCTGAACTTGCCATTAGTCCTTATGCGCTCTTCGAGTCGATTAACCAAGTTCCGCTGAATGAAGATTCAAGCTCTGGTTACATGAGTACTGCACAAGAACAATGGTGCAAGAACAATCTTTTCCTCATGAAGACTTTTCTTTTTTGTTTCGAAACTTTGGAGAAAACTAAAGCGAAAGGGAATGTTCTTGCTGTTAGAATGCTTCTTGTTGGTGGTTGGTTTTCTCCTGCTCCAATCTCAGTCAGTTTGTTAACCAATGCAGCGAAGAGTGTTTCCGCAAGCGAAAACCATCTCAAGAAATGGACAAACTGTACAAGCCTGACATCGAGTTGTTTACCACCGCGCACGTGGAAAGACGAAGAAGACTCGGCTACGCTACTTGTGAAATTTGGACTAGCAAAAAGGACTAATCTACACGACGATGGAATCTGGCTTCATTTCCATTCCATAACACAAACATTTGCTAAAACAAAAGGTGGCTTGAAATACGCAAAGGCAACGATTCAAGGAGTAAGGAAAACAAGCAACCATGTAATCTCAGATCATCTATGGGAATCCGCTTTTCTTGTTTTCGGATTCAAATCCGAGCCACCGGCCGTGGAGCTAAAGGCAACCGACATGGTTTTATACATCAAAAGAACAGCTCTTCCCCTCGCAATCCAAGCCTTCACCTTGTTTTCGAGATGCAGTTCCTCTTTAGAACTCTTAAAAGTCTGCACGAACGCACTCGAGGAAGTTGAAAAATCTTTTGTGACTCAAATACAAGATTGGTCTCATGACTCAATTTGTTGGAAGAAAAGGTTGCAAAGAAGACAGAAAGTTGATGAATATGTGTGGCAAGATGTTACATTATTGAAGGCAACATTGCTTGAGACAAGAGCTAAGTTGTTAGCTAGAGGAGGAGAGTTAGACAGTGGTAAGGAACTTTGTAGGACATGTATTAGTATTAGAACTGTGATGCTTGGACATAGCCATGCACTAACCTTAGCTGCTCAAGAGACACTGGCTAGGTTGGTGAGAATGAGGAGTAAGATATGAAGATGTTTTTGTTCATTGCAAGTAGTGTTAATTAGATAGTTTAATTGAAAAAAAAATATGTTAGTGCTCTTTAATTTATTATGTTATTGCTGTTAAAATTTTAAACTGTCAATAGAAAATCTTAGTAGTTACCACTCTACTAAAAGCATGGGAATTTTCTTTAATAAAAGGAGTATAAAATAATGCTTAAGCATATAAGTATATAAACAGAAGGCAAATTGTCCAAAAAGCTTGAGTCTGCATTTTATGTTAGAAGTAGACTTCATAAATTAAATATATCCAACATTTTGTCTTTATGTGAGAACTATTATTTTTTAGATGATTTAAACTAAATATTTATAACTTGAATGATAGGCTACAATAGTGGCAATTACTTCAAAGAACTATTTTTTCAGCAAATATGTGCTTAGATTGACACATACTTATGTTATTTATTGGCTAATATTGAATTGGTAACTTAGTGATGAACCACATTCAAAATAGTATAGTCGCCCACTACTTGAGCTCATAGCAAAAAATGTGGGAGAATTTCTTATATCTTATCTGTTTAATTTACGGAGATACATCTTCGTAACCTACCAAAACAAAATAGTTTGTGTTATTTTTTGTTTACGTGCATCCAGATGAAGATTTATAAGCGTTATGCACTATGTTATAAGCTTTATCCACCCTTTGATTTAAACCATACAATCGCAATGCAAAAAATGACATATATAAATTCAGATGGTCAAAAAATGTCATATATAAATAATATCGAGAACAACGATAAAGTAGTATAATGTGAAAATAAAATACAATCCATAGTAATACTATTATATACTAATGCACTACTATGTTCTGCCTCCTCGGCCATTAATCCTCCCCATTCTGTACGCTGTCTCTGGTACATCAATGTCCCCCCCCCCCCCCCCCCCTCATGTCCTTGTCATGATGGCATCTAGGACCTGTCTCACATCAGACCCATCAGAGAAGATACTTTTATCAGTATTTGTCTACGCAATCTCCACTATGCGACGATATCTAGGTAAGACATACTCAACATGATCTAACCGTGTTTGTTCCTCCTCTAGTATTTCCTAATGAGCTGACCTCGAAGGATCTCTTGAAACAGCATGCACCATGTACGCATGTGACACCCTGAAGAACCATCTGATATATTCGTCGACGTAGCTATGGTACTTCATGCCTCCTCAAATACCAGATGACTCTCATAATCATCAAACATCTCACCCACCTGTCTATGTGTCAAAGCAGGAGGACCAAAGACCACAGGGTGTCTGAGAATGGTCTGAGTGTAGCTGAATTGCCATATGATGCGCTCGGGCAAATGAGGGGTAATGAATATGATCTGCAGGTCAACCATCCTAAGTATAGCATTATCTTGTCAAAAGGTTGCGTCTCGCAATTATTTACATAGTTGTTGAGTGCATGTCCTCGGCAACCAAGCGGTCAAGATACACTCTAAACGACTCTATTGCTTGGTTCCCTCTGAGTAGGGAAAATGCAGTAGCATGCAACATATCCTTAGTATAAGTTGGTACACCTGTACAGCGGGAGATGCACGAGAAGTGTTGGAGGATCTAAGCCTGAAAAATTGGAACACACGAATCATAAGTTATGATGTCGTAAAGATGAAATGAAAATGACACAAAAAGATTAAAATACCAATAAATATTAGTGTCAGTAGTGTATATTGTTTGTGACATGCTTCGACTTTCACCTACAACCCTCTAATAACTTCGAGTATAGGTAGACCAAACAAGTGGTCATCCAGTTGTGCTCATGGATTCGCTTGAATCCTCAAAGTATTGTAGGTAGACGACATCTGTGTATAAGTGGCATTCTTGTCCGCAAAAATCATAGTGTCAACTAAATATAGCAGGTGTGCTCTCATAGAAGCGCTCTATAGAACCCCACCTGCTCGTCATCACATGTGGTCTGATGTGCTCTTTGTAACTCAATGTATATACCTTTTTTCAGGTATTCAAATCTAGCATGAGCCCCCTTGTTCTATCCAACTCCTCACTCGCCTTCCCTGGGTTAGCCCCCAGATAGTCTATCATCATCTCGGGTGTCTTTTCTTTGGTAATCCTTCTATGATCTAGAAGTCTTTTCTTGATTAGAATATGTAGCAAACACGACACATCGTCGAGTGTGATAGACATCACCAAGCAGGAGATGAAATGATGAGGTCTCTGAATGTCATCTCTCCACGAATACATTAAGCATCTTGTGGTTAACCATAATATAACAGGTCATGCATAAGTCCTTCATCCCAGATAGGGACAAAGTTGTCTGAAACCATTCCTCATTCGACTGAAGCAAGCAAGTAACCTTTCGTCCATGGTTAATAAACTTCAGCGGATCACTGACCTACAGAAAAATAAATCAATTTAAGAAACTCTTAAATTAAAATAAACATAAATTAAAAGAATGAATCCAACTAATGCTACCTCTCCATTCTAGATATATCTGACAATATGGTATGGATACACATGTTGTAGGGTCATGTCTACAGGGCCTCCTCCAAATGCCTCTGACTCAACATCCTCAACAGCCTCACCATTCAAAGGTGGCACTGACTCAGCAACAACATCAGCAGTAAGAGATGTCATTGGCTCAGTAGGAGGTGCCATTGGCTCAACATCATCATCAATAGGAGGTACCACCGGTGACTCGGGTATCTCAGAAGTCTGAATACGTGAAACCTGGCGCCTGCGGAAGGATGGTGTGAGTGATGCATTGGTAGGTAAAACTCGTCTCCTACGGGAAGAAGAATAAGAAGATGTAGAAGCATGAGGAGAAACATAAGCCCCAAAATTAGATAGTTCAGCATGACCGGAGGGAACATAAGCCTCTGAAATGTTACTCTTCTCCCGCCACACTGATGCAAGTTATGCAATTCTCTCGTGCCTTAGTATATCGTGTCTATCAGTCATAATGTCTGCAAGTTAAAGTAAAGCAGACAATTAGTGCAAGCAAACAACATCACAAACAATAAAAAAAGATTGTGATAATTCTAGAGATACATCTCTGGTTACTGAAAAACTGAAACGTTGAAAAATTTCGGGGATGCATCACCAGAATTTCTGCAACACAACAGGTGTGTCAATGGCGCCAATGCACACATGCAAACACAAAATAATATTTTTATCATCCTTTTTAGCTAACAAACGTGATTTACACTATGTTTAAACTATCATACATGCAATTCCTACTCATTTCTAACCTTAATCATCAATTTCTACTCATTTACACAAAAAACTCAAACTTTTCGAAACTTCAAAAACTTACAATTTTTCACTTTGCTTTAGTGTTGGATGATGTTTCTGATGTTGATTGAAATTTCCTTGAGCTTTGTTGTTTGATTTTGGACTTCTTGATGAGAAAAAGTTTGAGAGAGTTTGAAAAGATTTTGAGAAATATCAGAAATGAAAAAAAAGAAGAGTTCTGGTGTGATTTAAGCTTCAAAACGTTCTGGAGATGTATCTCCGAAATAAGTTCGAAGATGCACCTTCAAGATATTTTAACGTTAACTGAGAATTGGATGCGTCTGAAGATGCATCTCTGAAATCAGGGGGCATTTAATAAGTATTTTCGTGTGGTGTCTAAGTAACATATAGGATGCACTAAGAAATCTTTAAAATGTGTTATGTTTTAACTTATGTTTTGTTATGTCTATATGAACTTTCCTTTTGTCGAAAACTATGATGTTTGTCAAATCATTTTGTAACTATGTTGAAAAGTAAGAATGACTATTATTTTAAAATATTTTATTTGCTAAAACATCAATCATTTTAAAATGGAAGGAGTAATTTCTATGTATCAATTGTCAATTTCATGAGAATAAAACTATTTCTGTCACCCATTCTCGTAAAAAAATCATATATTTTCTCTCCCTTCACTCCTAAGAAGGGAGATTTTATCTTGTATGGTGATAAAAATAAATGAAAGATCATAGGTTCGTACACGATTGGTAAGTCATCCAATTTATAGATGTTTTTGATTGGCTACATTTTATGGCAAAACATTGATGGATGTATGAATGTCATGACTGATGTTATGACATACATAATGAGTATTCAGCAGGATAAGTTTGAATAACTAAGAGTCAAGTGTGTTGGATGTCATGCTGAATGTTATGACATCAAGCGTATGACATCAGGGCGCGCAGGTTTTAGTTTCTGGTATTAGCTCAGTCTATACTTCAGGAAACATTTTAGGAAGCCTAGTTATCTCAGGCGACATATCAGGCATTGCTGAGGATAACATGGAAGGCCCCTGACTTAATTGGACGTGCGCACTTTCATGAAGAAAGGTTTATCTTGGGTAAACCTAACTTCTGCACGAAGGCCCAAGGACTGTATGCTGTCTATATATACAGAAGTAACAATCCTATTTCAAGACAGTTCTTGACAGGGTTTTAGAGAACGTGTATTTGTGAGTGAAGAATTCTTCTCTTCACGTGTTTTTGTGTGTCTTAGGAATACTTGTAAACCAAGCAATTATCTGTTGTATGATTGCATTGGTCTAGAGTTCTTAAGCTGTCTGTTAAGTGTGTCACTCTAAGCTTTTAAGCAAGAGTGTTGTGTCACTTGATCAAAGCTGTGAAGCAAGATCAAGGTGTGTTTGAAGTGTGACTTCATTTCCATTTGTAACTTTGAATTGGTTGATATCACTGCTGTGATTGAGGGGGAGTGAGTTGGTAACTTTGGTCTAGTGTTAGGCTGAAGTGCCATTGGGTAGGTCTTAAGTGAAGAGTGCAAACTGGTTGTTTGACTCTGAATTAATTCTACTAATAGTGAATTTCCTCCCTGCCTTAGTAGCCCTTAGATGTAGGTGTGGTTTGTACTGAACTGGGTAAACAGTTACTTGTGTTATTTTCTGTTTTCATTTACAGTTTATCATTAAGTTTTGTTGTCTGTGTTATAGTGGATGTCATAACATCTGTGATAACATTCATTATTGGGTACCTAGAATTTCAATTGGCATCAGAGCAAGCACCCTGCCTGTTATTTTCTGGGTGAGATCTAGGGAAGATAAATTCGGGTACTATGGACAAGGATATAGGATTTACAAATAGACCACCAATTCAGGATGGCTCAAATTATGACTACTGGAAACCTAGGATGATAGCCTTCTTGAAGTCTTTAGACAACAAGGCATGGAGAGCTGCCAACTCAGGATGGGAACATCCAGTGAAGACTGATAAAGATGGAGTATCTGTGTTAATACCTGAAGAGGAATGGAACAAAGATCAAGAGGCCTTAGCTCTTGGAAATTCTAAGGCTTTGGATTCCTTATTTAATGGTATAGACAAGAACATTTTCAGACTAATGCACCATTGTGAACTGGCTAAAGAGGTTTGGAATACTCTCAAAACAACTCATGAGGGAACCTCTAAAGTCAAGATTTCAATATTACAAATGTTGACCACCAAGTTTGAAAATCTGAGAATGAAGGAGGATGAGACTATTCATTAATTCTACATGAATATTCTTGAGATTGCCAATACCTCAGGAACTTTAGGAGAAAAAATGTCTGAAGAAAAGCTTGTGAGGAAGATTCTAAGATCTTTGCCTAAGAGGTTTGCCATGAAAGTCACTTCTATTGAAGAAGCTCAGGATATAAGCAACATGAAAGTGGATGAACTCATTGGTTCTCTCCAAACTTTTGAGATGGGAATGTGTGATCAGGTTGAGAAGAAAAACAAAAGCATATCCCTTGTCTCAAACACTGCAGATGACTCTGAGGAAGACAATGGTGAAAGTGAGAAGAATATGTCAGAAGCAATAGCCCTGCTTGGAAGACAATTTAACAAACTGATCAAAAGAATATATCACAAGTCTAGGCCTAATGACAAGAACACTTCTCCTGACATCAGAAGAAGAGGTAAAAATGAAGAAAGGCCCAGCCAAGGCAAAGGAGTTCAGTGTCATGAATGTAAGGGATATTGGCACATTAGAGCTGAATGTCCCACCTATATCAAGAAGTAAAGGAAAGGCCTAGCAGTCACTTGGTTTGATGGAGATTCTGAGAGTGGATCAGAAGAAGAATTTGTCAAACATGTCACTGTTCTGAACAATGTATGCATATCTGATGGTGACTCAAGTGAAGATGAGTTGACCTTTGATGAACTTGCAGCTTCATATAAGAAGCTATGCATCAGAAGTACAGAAATATATCAGCAAGGGGAGCAACAGAAGAAAAGCATGAGGGAATTAGAGGCTGAGAAAATGGAGCATCTGGAAACCATAGACTCTCTCAAACGTGAGGTCAGCTTGTTGGAATCTAAACTAGATCAGATGTCAAAATCCATAAGGATGCTAAACCCTGGGACTGACACTCTAGAAAAAATTCTACAGAGTGGTCAGAAAGCAATAAACAAGTCTGGACTGGGATTTGTTGGTGAACATAAACCCATATTGGGGTCCAAGAAGCCAAAGGTTGAGAATCAGAGGTCAAACCGGATGTCACGACCAAAGTCACAACATCAGGGAAACAGAAGCAGGAACCTGACCAAGAATAAATTCCAAGGTTATAGGTGTTACTACTGTGGAAGACTTGGACACATTAAACCTTTCTGCTTCAGGTTACATGGATTTCCCAGCCACAGGCATTAGGTCAAACCCAAACAGGTTGCTCCCATTAAGAAAAGACAATGGGTTGCCAAGGAGGTTGCTCTAGTAGCTCATACCTCTCTTAGGATGCCAACCAAAGAAGACTGGTATTTTGACAGTGGTTGTTCTAGACATATGACTGGAATAGGGAACTTTTTTTATGAACATCAAACCTCATTCCTCAAGCCATGTAACCTTTGGTGATGGAGCTAGAGGAGAAGTCATAGGTGTTGGAAAACTAGATTGTCTTGGTGTTCCAGAACTGGAGAATGTCATGTTGGTTAAAGGACTGACTATAAATATTATCAGTATCAGTCAGCTCTGTGACCAAGGTCTCAATGTCAAATTTACTAAGGGTAAATGTGTTGTCACCAATGAAGAAGGTGAGGAAGTCATGAGGGGATATAGAGCTAAGAACAATTGTTACTTATGAGATCCTAAAAGTAACTTGAATATCTGTCCCTTGACCATAGAAGGAAAGAAGGATCAACTGTGGAATAAAAAGGTGGACATCTTCAAAGGATAAAGAAGACCATATCCAAGGAAGCAGTAGGAGGAACTCCAAAGTTAACTCTAGATGGAAGAACATGTTGGGATAAATATCAGGTTGGGAGGCAAGCCAAGACAACACATCCACAGAATGGAGCTCATAGAAAGTTAGACCTGTTATACTGGAATTTGATGGAGTCCATGACAAGTGATCATAAAGGAAGAAATGTCACTCAGGATGTCATGACTTTGTACTGTGACATTAAGAGTAACATCAATATGAACTCAGTTCGGTCTAAAAGAGTCAGGCATAGGGATAACAGACATCAATTTGGAAAGGTTCGTGTGAAGCTTGGGAACACTGATCTACATAGTGCTGACATGGTTACAAGAGGTCTCAAGGCTACTCAATTTGAAAATTCACAAAGCAAGTTGAGGACTTGCCTTAATGAGGAATTGTAGCAATTAATGGTAATAGAGACTTATATTTTGAAAATTAATCATTTGGTGATTGGTCAAAATATTAAATTCCCTCCTCTTGTGCAATATTACCCCTCTAGCACCCTCACACATTACGCTTACTTCATTTGGTGCCCATTCCAATTCTTCATCTTCCATACCTCCCTCGACAACCACAGAAAACCTTCCCTCTTACAATGTATAAGAAAAGTCATCCATAAATGTAGAGCTTGAATGATTCAACATATAACTCTAATACAATGAAATTTACAACTAAATTTTTTGATTATAAAGATAAAACCAACAAACTGAATCACTGATATTTACTCAACAAAGTATAATTTAAATCTAATACACATCTTTACAATTTCTATTGGAATGCAACAAAGAGGCATGGCATTTTACCAGCTTGAATGTTGTAATTATACATGATCATTGTATACTAATTATATATTGTCTTAAAGTTTGTTCCCTTGATAAAGTGTCTGCTCCAACCATGATTTGTCTTTAACTAATCTTATTACCAATTTTGTTCCTTCTATCTTTCCTAATAGAAAACCATTTCCTATCAGAATATTTATTTAAGAAATGAAAATAAATATGCAGGAAGTAACCATGTAAATTATAAAATTGGATTCTCAATTAAAACTCACAGGCACACATTACATAACTATAATGGGCTCGATATCTCAACTAATACATCGATTTAAAGCCATTTTATCAAATATTTCCTACAGATGGCCAATACATAAGTTAAGTTACACTGCGCTATTTTACAATTTTGCATCTCTAAATCTTAATACAATCTAAATGCCATGTTGTGATGCAGAGGCATTAGCTTATGTAATTCCAAAAAGGAGACAGTTTATAAAATTGGAGATAAAAAACATCCAAAGCAGCATTTTTCACTTTTCTTGAAACCTAGTAACCTTTTGACAGAGGACCCTGTTGACTTGTACAACTATGATACATACCGCTGCATAATGTCTCCTGAGAGGAATTGAGGGAGAATGGATCAGAACTTTTGATAATCCTGTGGTGGTGGCTGCTCCCATGGGCGCAAAAAGCCTGTACAAAAATCAATTAGTTAAGTACATATAAAACAGATGAAACCTATTACAAGAATCTGCACATTAATACTTCATTGGTGAGTGATAACAATAAACCTGGTGAATGTGAATTGTGAACCAGTTCAAAGGTGAACAATGCAGTTATTGACATGATTTGAAAATGTTAAAGAGTCTCACATCGGACAATATATATGGCCTGAATATGTGTTTATAAATGGGGGGCAATCATCACCTTACAAGCTAGTTTTGTAAAGGTTGAGTTAGCCCGAGCCACATATTCTAAGAAAATATTGGTTGCACGCAACAGTTTTGCATTTAGTAAAAACACAGAAGTAGTGAGTATGGTCAAAATTGTGACAAATTGATTATTACCAACATGCACAATTTCCTACATGATTCAGAAAACTGCCAGATGCAAATCAACAGCAAGATTCACAGTAGCAAGCACAGGTGAAGAGGATGCAACTTAGAAGAGAGAAAAACAAAAATCTTCCATGAAGATACATTGATCAATATCTAAAACGTATCAAATTGGATCTAAATGAACTGGAAGTCCTGCTTGCGAGAGAAGAGCATAAGCAGTTAGCCGTGTTGTTTATCCTAAACTTTTGGAATCATATCAGCAGTGACAAGTAACGCCTCAGCATGCTTCTTTGCCACAACGGCCTAAATCTAACCTAAGTACAAAGATGGAACATGCCTGAATAACCAAGTACAGTGTTGAGCATCATAAGCACTTACAGCCTTATCATTCACCCATATATATGCTACGCAACTGATCATCACTCATAAATCCTATGCCAAAAGGGATGGATCAGCAGCAGGAAAATTAACAATTTTGTGGGTTAGATAATCCGATTACCCATCCTCCAGACCCGATCCAAACAAAGGCTGCCCAAAATAGGTAATTTGGATCAAGGAGTGATTAAGTGGTCATAGCAAATGAACTATAAATCATGTCCCTTACAGAAGGTGACGGTTTGTGCAGATTGGCTGGACCAAAAATTACTAGTAGAGCAGGTCTGGACAGATTGTGCATCACCTAAATTGAGTGACATGGTTGACATGTCACATCAATGCATAGCAAGATATATGTAGTTTTGTCAAATAGCTGTTACAGAGTTATATCGTAGCAGAGTTTGAACAAATCACTCTTGTTCCAGGATATACTATTTACACTATTTGGTACAAAGTGTTGCCAAATAACATAGCACAACAGCTAAGTGGAATGTGAACAAACAGCAGATCCAAGATTGACAACATTGGATAGATGGCAAGGTTAGGTAGACCGGTTGATCAAGAGTGAAAATTCGATGGTGGGGCTGACCAGAGGATAAAAGACAAGTGTGTGAACTAAGCGGTCCATAACAAAGGATGTTCATAATTTACAGGAGGGGAACACAGCCAAACAAGAATGCAGGGTAATAACATTATATAGAACAAATAGACAGCTAGTATCTCCACAATCTCAAAATCCAACGAAAGCATTAATGCGGTAATCTACTCCGCCATCCATTAACGGGTCATCAAAAAGCAACAAAAACAAATAACAGGTACTTTTAATAAATAAGAGCATTAAAAAGAACTGACATACTTAATTCTCCCAGCGACATATATATGGAATCATCCTCGGCAAGTGTCCCCTGAAATAAAAGAACGAAACTATGTGAAATCATCCTGGTTATTGATAATTATGTCATCTAAACAAAGAAAATACAATTGACAAGTTGATGGCCACTTTCATTGTATATTATAAATATATGCATTGAACATCAAGTCCACAAAGGTATATTAAAATGTGTATAAAAAATTCTCAATCAAGCTTGCATCAGTACCGTTCCATTATCAAGGCCTATTTCATTGTGCACTGAGTTTATGTCGTCAGATACTGAAGAGCAGTTTGCGAAATCTGTCCCAAGCAACTCTGATATCATCAGCCCATATCCATCCTGAACATCATGTATATCAGCAGCATTTTGAGCATGGCTGGAAAAACCGTCAAGGCCTGTAAACACAGTCTCTGTCCTGTATGTTTGAATGACAACATATTAGTAATAGAGCTGCAACTGATTTACTCACTAAGTAACTGGGAGAAAGGATGAGAACTAGATCAATTAGAAGTTAGAACCCTGTGTGGATAAACACCCTAATTAAGAACTTATAGCATAAGAGCTTATCATATAAGTGTTTATTTATAAGATATTTATATAGAAATATATATACATAAAATAAAGTCAAATTGTTTTCATATAAGCTATAAGCTGTTTTCATGAGTTATCCTAGAGAACTTATGGAAATAAGCTTCAAACAGCTTAAGGAAATACCATAAGCTGTTTCCATTAGTTCTCCCAAACAGTTTCACGGGTGTTTATGTTAGTAGATAAACTTGAGTAAGTTGATCTAATCAGGCTTTAGTCCTAAATAAAAGTATGCAGAAAAAAGGATAAAAATAAATAAATTGATATGCTAGTAGATAAACTCAAGTAAGTCAATCCAATCAGGCTTTGGTCCTAAATAAAAGCACGCAGAAAAAAGGATAAAAATAAATAAATTGATATTAGTGAAAGAGCTGCAAGGCAAAGAAAAGATCTTTAAAATTATGTGCTTCAGTTGACTGACATTTTCACTCAGTAACTGGAAAAAAAGAATGATAACTAGACCAATTAGGTCGTAACAAACACTAAAATGGAGATGCAGGGTAAAACAATTAACAAAGCTGACATTAGAAGCGAGGAACAAATATAGAAGAATCATACTTTCTATCAATACTGTCTATTGCCTTTTCTTCTTGAATGGAATCATTTTCTAGATCAATTACTTCAATCTCTTTGCCATTTGCTCCATGAGTACTGAATTTGCCTGATACACTAGCATGATTCATGGACAGATCGATATCAACTGGTACAGCCTCCTTTGTGTCAGAAACAGTAGGAGGAGAGTAAATAAGAACCGGATGATCAACGTGATTGTCATGAACTTCAGATGTCTCAATGAGATTCAGATCACAAGTTCTAAACGAACTTGGCAATGGTGGCTTCGCCTCCGAACATTGGAAAAATGGTCTATCTTCCTCATCCGCGAACTGAGAACTGCTCATAAGGTTCCCTTGATCAGACGTCAAACTCATTTTGTCAACATGTGAAATTGGAATTACATCTTCCTCTGGGCTATCTTTGACCTCAATTGGAGTGTTATGCAAAAAGTATGCCTCAGTCTTTGGTATAGGAGAGGGCAAGGGCTGCCATTCTCTCAGTCTTTTGGTGTCTTCCCTGACATCAACATCTTCTTCTGCAACACGTTTCTCACCCCTTTCCTCAGACATGGAACTGCAGCCTCCAAACTCCGGTAATTCAGCAGCAAACTCTTGGCCTTTATCAGATTGTGACCCAACAGATTGATCTTCCACAGCTTCACAGGCAGTATCCAATTCTTTCATATCCTCGACAGAATGGACAGGCTCTTCGCCAGCGTCCGAGTCAATATGCACGATATCATAAGTCTTGTCAGGTAGCAAATTACCTGGGGAGGAGTCTTTAATAGACTCATTTTCAACTAAGACTCCAGTTTCTTGAACATCCATGATATCATGCACATTCTCTGCTGCATTGTTCACAACTTCTACATTGTTCACAAGCGGAAATGCTTTCAAATTCTTGTGAGTCAGCGAAGAGCGTGTCTTAGTAGGCACTTTAACAGATTTGCATAGTGAAAGTAAATCAGTGAAAACTACGCCAGAACTATTATTCTCCTGATCACATGATTGATCAGATGAATTCTTCGAGATACTTGGTTTATCGCCATCATCACCACTACTACCAGTTCCATCCTTCACCACCTCTTTAACTTTATCCATACTCATATTCTCCAAATCATTGGAACTCCCAACAAAATCAACATCCATATCACCTGCATCTTTTCCTTCACCAGAAGAATTTTGTTTCAATTCCAACAATTCACCATCAGACACAGAAACCTGATTCTTATTAGCCTCAACTTCCAAATCATTCCCATCCTCACTTGTAGGCACAAATTCATTCAAATTCGATTTCTGCATTATAGTATCAACATCACCGCCGCCGCCGCCACCAACAACCTCAACCTCCTCCTGCTGTGGTATCCGACAATCCTCTTCATCTTGCGGTCTAACACCACTACCACTACCACTTCCGATACCAATATCACCACCATCAACATCATCATCATCATCATCCCGAATATCAGAACCACCTATATATCTATCGGACCATGATCCATTCCTTCTATACTCTCTATTACCCAAATCAAACCCATTACTCTTAAAACTCCCTCTCCTCCTACCATTACCTTTTTGTCCAAACTCCTCAAACCCTAATTTCCCCCTCCCAGTAAACCCTCCATCCACACCCGAAACCGCATTATTCCCCAATCGAGCCAGCACTGAAGACCTCCCTCCATCAACCAAATTTTCCCCCACACCACCAACACCAACACCAACATGTTTCTTAAAACTACCATTCTGATTATACACCTTCAAAGACAATACACTCGGTGGCAACAATCCCTGAAAAACTAAATACTCAGCAGCTAGCCTACCTGCTTCCACAAAAATATCACCACCACCACCACCACCACCGGGGACGGTGGCAGCAGAGCCAATAACAGCAGAAACAGAACCTCTGCGATTATTATAACCTCTCCCAAATCCATCACCACCGCCACCACCGCCGCGATTGCGATATTCCGAGGCATAAAAGCCTCTCGGACTACGTTGCCGAGGATGCATACTGTTTCAATATCTCTCTAACAACAACAATTCAGATCAATCAAAATTCAATAATAATAAAAATTATTAAAATTATAAAAATGATAGAAATTCAAAAATCTGATAGAAGCATCGAAAATTGAAGAGAATTGAGATGTGAAAGAATCAGATCTGGAAAATTGAAGTGACAGTGAAAACGAAGAAGAAGAAGAAGAATGAAATTTGAAGTGATTTGAAATGGGGAAGAAGGAGAAAGGGAGCACGGTAAGGGAAGGTGGGAGGAGGAACAGGAGATTGGAGCCTTATGAAATTAATAGATGTTATTTTATTTTCTTGATTTGTTTCTCCACTATAACTATTGTTGATCCTCTTTATATTTACTTTTTTGAATTCATGAAATGCACGCGTGTACGAAACTAAACTACTTTATTTATTTTGACAGCAAAATCCAAACTATACTTTATTATTATTATTCCTATTAATACCATCCTAATATATAAATATATATATGGAGGATAAATTTCAATATTCTTTAAATATTAGTTTTAACTTTTATTAATAATCATTAAAATTATTATGAAACTTTATTAATTTTTACAGCTTTAAATATTATTAATAATTATTCTAAAAAGATCTCTAATTTAATATTAATTTTAGTTTTCCAGAATTTTATTTTAGTTTTCATATGATTAATTATTTTTTATTTTGTCGGAATCTAATACACAATTATTATTATTATTATTATTATTATTATTATTATTATTATTATTATTATTGTTTATTCTCTTTTAAATTAAAACAAAAAAAAAATATTAACACTCTCTGTTACTTTTGAAATCACGTATGAGAACCAAAGATAAACTCCGATAAATTTTAAATATGAGTTTAATTGGAGTTTATCTTTCATGTTCTCTTGTATATGGTTTCAAGGTAACATCTAAAAGAGTGTTAAGATAAACTTTAATGGTGATACATTAATAGTGTAAAAATATTTTATACTCTCATCCAATAAAAATATATTATTTTACTATATTATATCAGTATTTTAAAATTTACAAAGTGACTTGGCAGGATGCATTGTCTTATTGATTGACAGTGTAAAATTAATTTACACGGTCAATGCATCATCCATTTTCTCTTTAACTTTTATTAATATTTATTGTAAATAAAATAACAGAAAATTTATTTTATTAAAATTATGAATAGAACTTTAGAATGTGAAGGTGTCTGTCACAATTTAAATATTTATTAAGAAAATAATTTAAATATATGTACATTTTATAACAATTATTTAACTTTATTTTCAAAAATATTTTTTTTATTTTAATTTTTGAGATGATTAGTCGATTTTATTATACAACTTGGATTGATTTTGAGAAATTAACATGGTAACTTTGTAATAGATATTCTACAATGCAAAGAAGAAGAAAAAGGATTGCATACATTTCATGTGATATCCGCTTATTTTATTGGCAAAATAGTTACCCACAAGTTCTTCTCTTTGTTTTATAGGACGAGAATTTGTGATACGCATTGTTACTCGGCAATGGTATCCACGGATATGAGCATCTTAGATGAATGTAATTACTCTAGAAATAGGCAAATTAAGTGCTACTGTTGAAAGTTGTAATGCAACGGCGAGAGAGATTGACACGCCTCTACTTGCTAGCCATGAATGGTGTTTCTTCTTCTTTAAAGTGTTTGGATGCTTTTGTACCATTTTTGGAAAGATCTTCGTCGTTGATACGCAGTGGATCATACGGTCTGTAGTGCCTGAAATAAAGTATAAAGGGATTTTGAAGTGCCCTCCTGACTTTTTTTTCTCTGCGAGTTAGCTATGAGGAGAGTGTTTTTCATTTTCAGCGTTGAGTCAAAACCAATTGATTTTGCTTGTCATTGTTGTGTTTGCATGTTCATTGATATTTTTTTTAGAGTTTGAAGTTTGAGTCTTTCCTTGTTCCTTCATTCTTTCGTTAGGGTTCCCAAGACATCCTAATTTTACTCAAACTTTACTACATCTACATTGATCTTGTTGTTCTAGACCGGCCAAAAGCCTAGATGACTAAAGCCTCATCTATCTCAAATTCACTCTACTTGACTCGCGGTATAAATCAATTCACACGCTAAGAGTAAGATATAATTTCTGATATCCACTATTCACTACCCTCATCTTGAATCTTGAATTGACTTAGGTGTTTGAGTGCTAACCATGCAAGTTCATCCTGCGCCACCGAAAACGAGATCAGAGCCACCGTTTAAGATTATAAAATTTCCAAGTACATCTTTTTTCAGTTCCCAAACAGAACATTGGTGTCATATGTGAGAATTGACTTCCGATTGTAACGATTTTCATCAATTTTAGATCTAGTCTCCGATTTACCTATTTGTAACCTCCTTAGGTCACCGAATCGAGAGCAAAAACAACTTTCAATTCCTACTATTTCCATAAATTCATGTTCTCTTTTTGACTTCGTCGTTCACAACTTATTTAGCTCTCAGAGTCAATAAACACTCAGAAGTGAACACACAAATCTATCATAGTCGATTTAACTGATCATCATCACAACCTCGATTCTTCAAATTGTAGATATAAGATTCTCTCGAGAACTCCGCAAAGTAAACGAAAAAAAGATCTTAGATTCAGATCTAGATTAGTGATGGAAACACCGAAAAATAAATATGATTTCCTTGAAGAGAATGCCGAAGATTCATGTTTCATCTTTTGATCTAACAATGCAATTGTCTCTCATTGCTAACGTGATACCTACTGCAGTGGCATAGAAGATATGACGAGTTCATAGTTAATGATGCCCATATATGATGAGTTCATAGTTAGTGATGCCCAGATATGACAAGTTCATAATTAACATTGGGCGACGATCAAGTTTCGGGGCACATTCTTTAGTTCTAAAGGATTTCAAACTAGTAGACGAACTAACCTCATAATAGATTTAGTGTTCTCCTTATCGCTTGGCCCAGTCTTATCAATGAAGGCCACCCTAGGGGCATCAGATAGATAACAGGGGCATTCAGGCACAAAAATAACATTCCATACCCAACACCTTCTTTCCAAAAGAAAGAAAAAATGGTAAGAAGGGCCCAAACTCCAATCGAAGACCAAGGAGGAAGGTCTTCCAAGGAGCTTCGTTGGCATCTGACTATCACAACAGGTCCTTGAGAATAAGATCGCCAAATCGAGTCACCTATAGACAGGTTGTCAGTCACCTATAAACTACTCCAGGTAGATACTCACTATGGAGTAAGAAGGAAGTCAGGGAGTTTTATCTCTGGTGGTCAAAAAGTGCATTGGTGGGGAATTCAACAAAGGCAACTATGGGGTCCTAAAACCCTAGAGGTCTTCCTCAAGCTACATACTCGGAGAAGACAACCATCTGATCATACATCGGCGAGTAGATACAAGACGGGATGCTTCAACAAATTTATATGCTTCAACCATCTTAGTAGAACTTTATTTTGCGAGTGATATGCTTTTAACAATGACAACAAATTTATATGACGACAACTAATTGATGATGACAACTAATGTCTCATGACAAGTCAATCATAAGTGGTTAAGAGGATAAAGATGCAATCCTAAGTATAGGGTTTGATGGACTTGACTATCTGATGATGGAAATCAAATGGAATACAACTCAAGCCTCATCTCAAGAGAAATGAATTAAGTGTCAACAAAAGAAAGTATATGACATCTTGAAGTGGAAAAAAGTCATACTCTGATTAGTTTGAGTGAATACTTTGTAAAGCATAAGGGCGTTCTCGTAAAAGTGTATGTCTAAATCACTCACACACATTAAAACATCTTTTCAAACTGATTTTTTTATAAATAAAATATCTTTAAAATGTCTTGAAGTTATGCCATATGAGTTAGAAGTTGTCACAATAGCTCTGGGCAAAGTTTTGTTTTTGCCAGTAGATTGGTGCATTAACCTAATCGATTGGATTAGTTCAAAATTGAGCTTTAAGTGATTATGATAACATCATAATGATGTGCAACAACTATATATCTTTTATTTCCTTTTTGAACTTAAAATCGATTATTATTAAGGTATCTAATTAATTGACATTAGATGCTAGTCGATTAGCAAGTCATAAAAAGTATTAAAATCTATTTTCTTTTTTATCCAACCTCTAACCTATAAATAGAGGTATCTTCCCTCATTTCAAATCTTTCATAACAGTTTTTTTTTTGTTGACATTTCTCACTCTCTTCATCTCTCTCTAAACTTTTCTTTTACTTTCTCTCACTAACTGTTTAGCAGACTGTTTTCCAGAACATTCTTTTGTAAGTGAGGATAACTTGTAATTTTAGAAGGATAAAATTGTAAGTTCACCAAATAATTTTTTGGTTGAACATTTTATTAATTTTTTTTTTGGTTAAAAGTTAAATCCATAAAAAAAATTGGTTTGAGGATTGTGTGATCAAAACCTTATTTAGGTTCGAAGGCTCATTCCATATTAAAAGCTTTCATAGGTTTTTGGTTTGCACGTTGTAAAATCAATGTTATGTTAAAGCTTAACCCGGTATTAAAAGTTTGGATAAGGTTTGAGATTAATCTGGTATTAAAATTTCACATGTTATTGGTTAACTCTTATAAAATTGAGGTGTAATGTTTTTAAACTCATTTTGTGATAAAAGCTTGCAAAGCTTATTTAAAAGTTTAAAGACTAACCACTTTAATATTCTCATAAAAAATATTTTTTTAAATATTTTTTATAAGTAATTTCGGCTTTTCTTTCGGTTTTTTTTTTTTTTTTTAATATTTCAGCATATATAATTTTTCAAATAGAGTTACTTTTTAAATTTTTTTTTTATGTAAAGTGGAAGGAGTGAGATTGAAACAAAGTGTGTTTAGATAGTAACATTGGAGATAATATAACAAGTTGCATAGATTATTTGATATAAGTGAAAGAAGAGGGAAATAGAAAAGATAGAAACATTTTATCTCTCTTTTCACTAGTTTGGTTAAATAGAAAGTAAAAAAAGAAAAATATTATTAATT